CGCTTCCGTGCCCCTGTCACCCGGACGCGTGCAAGGAGTTGAGATGAGTCTGGGAGCCGTGCCAGCGTGGAGCCCGTTGGGGTCTGAGCCATCAGGAGCTGCTGGGGCAGAGGAGCCTCTTCAGTGTCACCTTCCTTCGGCCGGCAAGAGCCCTCTCTGGGTGCCGGGGGAGGGGGTTGCCTACAGCTGCAAAGCAGGACACCCCAAAGAAACCAGGGTGGTGCTCGCAAACGGGAATATTGGGCAGGTCAGAAGTTTTCCTTCAGCCAAAAGGTAGGCTGTGCAGGAAACTGCCTGAACCCGGGGGCCACGCAGGGAAAGGGGACCGAGGAGTGTGTCTGACGTCCACGATGCCACACCTGATCCTTTCCTTCTCTCCTGCCCCCCCCCCTGCAAATGCAGGTGTACGAGGACCTGAGGTACAAGTTGTCCTTGGAGTTCCCCAGTGGGTACCCCTACAACGCCCCCAGCGTCAAATTCCTCACCCCCTGCTACCACCCTAACGTGGACCTGCAGGGGAACATCTGCTTGGACATCCTCAAAGACAAGTGGTCGGCTCTGTATGATGTCCGAACCATCCTGCTCTCCATCCAGAGTCTGCTGGGAGGTGAGGTGAAAGAGCCCCCGGGCCCCAGAATCAGCGGGCACCGGGACAAGGGAGCTTCCCAACATTGAGTTTTGGGCCCGACTGCAGCTGCGGCTCTGCTGCCTTTCTGTCCCCAAAGAAATCCCCTACACGTGTGCCCCACCTAAAAGTCCCCCACCCCTCAGGGGGTGCACTCCCTGTCTCTTCCCACTGCCTCATTCCCCCCCGCCAGCTGTGGAGCTCCCACAGAAGCATCTGAGGTGCACCCCGAGAAGAAGCGGCGATGGAGGGGGGGTGCCACCCCAGGATGCCCCTTGCCTGGGGAGGCCCAAGGGATCCTGGGTCCTGTGCAGAAGAATCGCGCAACTGAGCCTGTGGCTTCCCTGGGCGAAGACCCTACCCTGGGCAGAGCAGAGCTCCCAGTCCCAGGGAGGCGGGAGGCTGCTCTGTTCTCAAAGCGCGTTCTGATGCCTCCTTTGCTGCTTCCAGAGCCAAACGTTGAGAGCCCTTTGAACACAGAGGCTGCCGAGCTCTGGAAGAACCAAGCGGGTGAGTGTCTCTGAGGGTGATTTTTGAGGGAAGGGAACCCTCAGAAGCATTGAGGGGAGAGGCCCCAGATGCGACTTCGGTTGGAGGGTCCTTTTTTACATTTTGGGATGCCTTCGTGAGGACCTGGACCTTTCTTGTCTGAACGTGGAGGGAATCACCCTAATTCGCGTTTGCGTTCCTTCCCTGGCTTTCACGTTTCTATGGCTGCGCCTTGAGGGTCCCATGGCCACAGGGCAGCACGCACAGAATTACGCAAAAGAAACGTCACCCCCTCGCACCTTTGGCCAGTCTGGAAATTCTTCCGGTGGGGGGAGGGTTTGATCCCCAGAAAAGGCTTGGCTGAATTTGCCTCCAGCCCTTTTCCTAAATGCGAAACCAAAACAAAGCTGCAACAGAGAGGTTGCCGCTGTCCCCCAGCCGCCTCGGCTGGAGCCTGCTCCGCCCCCGCCCTGAATCCGCTCGTGTTGTCTCTTCGCGCAGCCTACAGAAAATACCTCCGTGAGTCCTACGCAAGACACACGAAGAGCCAGGATACTTGATGCCCTCCCGGGGGCGGGGAGTACGTCTTCTCCCTTTTCTGTTTTATCCTTGTATTTCCTGTACGTCAACCCCTGTTGTATTATAGATTGTTTTAAAGTTTATTTGGCTTTTTTCCCAGTGTTAATGTATAAATAAACATGTTTGTTTTCATAAAGTGACGCCTAATTGCACAATGTGCTAAGCCCCAAAGCACAGGGCCTGGAGTCACAAACGCTGAGCCCACAGCCAAGCGGGCCAGCAACTCCTACTCCTCCCAGAACACCCACCCGTCCCCCTCCACGGCCCTCAATTCCCCCAGAGTGTAAGGGTGCCCCTGGCTGTCAAAGGGTGCCCCCTCCCCCGCTTTGCACGATGGGGTCCACTCATGCAAAGGCATCGTGAGGTTTCAGGAGGACAGAAAGGGTTGCTGGAGGACCGAAGTCAAGCCAGGGGGGCTGATGGGGGGGCCTCCTGCCTATTTCCCCTCCTCCCAGCCGGGCGGCCCCTGGGGGATGGGACCGAGGGACGATGCTTCCGCAACCAAACTCAGCCCTGCACCCCCACTGCTTCCAGTCCGTTGCTCTTTATTGAGGTGTCATTGTCAAAAACAGGGTTTCACAGCGTTGGGGCGATGGCATCCAGAACTGAGCTGAAGAGGCGTCTCTGGGCTGTGCAGAGCAAGCTGGCGCAGGAGTGGGGGGCTTGTGAGCTCGGCTGGGCTGGAGGCAGACTGGGCTGTGGGGAGCTGCCCACCCGGCGGCCTTGCAGGAATGTCTCAGCGCTTTACTGCACACCCTCCATCATCTTCAGGAACTCTGGGGGGAGATGGGGATGGCAGCTGGATCAGCCCCCAGCACCGGTGGGCAGCAGAGCACCGCCTCCCAGACGTGATCCAAAGCCGAAGATGGCAGCCAGTCCACCAAGGGCCACCCAGCGCCCCCCAACCTGCTGGCACCCCCCTCGCACGCAGCCTGCCTGGACTGCTTGTGGGCCCTGCTCCCCAGGGGGGACGCTGGCAGTGGGGCTCAGCCCCTACGGTCCCAAACCCCAGGAGGGGGGAAGGTTGTGTTAGGAGCTGGGAACAGCCCTTTCTCTCTGAGGGGATGGTGGGGAGGGAAGCCACCGCGGGTCAGCTCAGCCCCCAAGAAGCTCCAGCCATCTGGGCTGCTCACCATCAAAGTCGATCCGCCCATCGTTGTTTTTGTCTCCGTCCCTCATGAGCTCCTGGATCTCGTCTTCCGTGACATGCTCTCCAGAGGCCCGAAAGATCTCAACCAGCTCATCGGCATCCAGGAAACCATCGGCATTCCTGGCAGGGGGAAGGAATGTGAGCCCGGAAGGCCATCCTGCAAACATCCCCGCGCAGTTAGCTGCCGGTTGAGCTGAGCTGGCACAGCGGCACAGAGGGCACACCCTGTTCTGTTGAGCACCGCAAGGCCAGCCTAGGACTCGGAAAGCCCCCGGGTCCCCCTCCTCCGCGGCCTCAGCACCAACTGGATCAAGGTGCCAGGACACAAAAGGTGTCGGCCTTCAGAGGCAGGGACCATGGCAGGGTGGCCAAGAGGGCTGGTGGTTTGGTGTGGTGGATTGAGAGGCTGCCTGACTTCCAGCAACTGAGTGGCCAACATCTCCCAATGCAGGGAGCAATAAAAGGAAAGAAAAAAGATGTGTACGTCCATGAACAGCAATCCAGCACATTGAAGAAAACAGCCAGATTTTTAGAAGCTTGCTGGGGAGATGCTATTCTGGAGAGCAGGTACCGTGACAGAGAAGGTGCACCATCTAGTTCCCAATAGATGACACTGTTCAATCAAAGGGACCTGAAGTGCACCCACTCTGCCTGATCTCCCTGTGAAGCAGAAACTATTGGAGAGGGGCAGGCCCTCAAGTAGCCAGGCCCTGCACTGTGAAGGGCTGTATAGGTAGTCCTTGTTTAGCAACTGACTCCTTTAGTGACCGTTCACAGTTATGACAGCGATGAAAAAGTAACTTTGCAACCAGTCCTTGCATTTACAACCTTCACAGGTCTGGAAAGCAAAGGAAAGCTGAAGGAAGATTGTAAGCACAGTCACTTCGTAACCGCTTCACTTAATGACCAAATTGTTGGTCCCAATTGTGGTTGCTAAAGAAGGACTACCTATACAGGTGGTAACCAGTTCCTTGAATTGCACCCAGAAGCCAACCGGCAACTATGCACTTT